CTGCGCCACCTTGGCTGTAATCTGTTTAAAACTTCTTTGGTAACTGATCTTTATCATAACAAGCCTCCGCTTCCAACAGTCCAAGTGCACTGTGCACTGTCTGTTGCAATTTGCATACAATAAATAATTCTCCTGAATGATAATAGCACTTTCCCCCTTAGAATCCTAATTAGTTTTATTTCAAATGAGTCTTTCTTGCTAAAAGACTTTTACCTGGGGGCATTTGCCCACTTGACCCTTCAGCCATCTCTCAATGCAGCTGTAGCCAAAGAGATGCCCACAGCGCAATGCTGCAAGACGATGCTGCCCAGCGTTCGTCCACTCTTCAAAGCAGATGGCACAGATATCGCCACTGTCCTCTTCCAAAGAAACCAGAGATGCCGCCGGATTACTTTTCTTTAATGGAGTTGTCTAGAAAAAAGAAAACATGGAAGGTAGCTCAGGTAAATGAGGGCCCAGGTATTCAACTTCACTTCCTCTCACCTTCTTTGGTTGGGAAGCTGTGACTCTAGAATCAGGATGCTCTATCTCGTTAGAATTATCTCCAGGAGGCTCCATTTGATTTGAGACAATTACTAAGAGAAAAAACAAAGAAATATTTCATGTAAGCAAATCAATCTATATGAAAGTGCAACCCTCCCAATAAGCCATTTCAATTTTAAAGAAGAGACAAAAAAGAATAAGCAAGTTATTTCCATTTAATTCCAAACCACAAAAACCTCACAGACAATAAGCATATAGAATATAGAAGACAGACTTAATCAGACTATTTTAGATAGTTACATACAAATACACATACTAATTAGCAACCAATCATTACTGCACAGTAAAGGTAATGCCAGGCACAAAATCTGCCCAAGACTTTTCGTCTTAGCTCAGCCAATTTCTTAGATTGTTAGGTTACAAAACGTGATCCATCCTATGCAACAGGAGATGCAAAACAACAGGGATATCTATTGGGTTTGGTTAAAATAGTCAAAATGGCATCCGCAACCGGCCAATCAAAATTCCACCTGTTTTTAAGGTGTAATTGGAGCAGAGCTTCAATTGTGCCATTGCAGCCCCCACATCCTGCCCCCCCTCAAAAGACCGAAGCTCATGAAAATGTTACACAAACAAATAAATTGCTCTGATCAAGGATGGGCATCATGTCCTGAGACATTTACATACATTTAGATTTTCAAAGATGTGGAAACAATGCAAACCTTCCAAGCCAATTAGAGGTATTTCCTCTAAATTTCTTGCAGGTTCCTCTTCGTCCTCCGTCGGGCTGCTGCTGTTGCCGCTGCTCTCGGAATCACTTAGGACCACCGTTTCATCTGAGCTGCTGTCATTGTGGATTACTAGAAGTGATGGTTCTGCTGGCTGGGTCCTACTGACCTGGAAATAGCTGTCCAGCGATGCTGTGGATCTAATCAACACAAGGTAAATGTGTATTTGTGTGAAATCTGATTTTAGCCCCCTCGAAACATGCATTTCCTTGATCTCAGTGGCTGAGCCGTGCAGACTCCAACACCCAGAATTCCCACAGCAACCCAGCAGCAGTTTTCACATGTCTGGACTCCAATTCCCAGAATTCCCAGCCAGCCCAGCAGCCACTTTGATAGGCCTGGACTCCAACTCCCAGAATCCCACGCATTTTAAAGTGGCTGAGATGGAGAAAGAAGGCGATGAAGCGCCAGTACCATTCCAACCCCCAACTGCAGAATTTAGGCGCTAACCACCCACCCCCGGCCCCGAAAACAGCCACGGAGCGTCCCCGGGGCTCGGCCTGCCGCTTCTTCCGAGGAGCGTCTCCGCAGCCCCGGCTAGCCCGTCGAGAACCTGAGGGGCGTGGAAGGAAGGAAGGAAGGAAGGCGGTCGCCAGGCGATGGGCAGGCAGCGCGCGGGGCCCACGACCACTCACCTGGCCCGGGCTGCACGTTGGGAGGACGACGCTGAGGCGGAGGAAGGCGCTGCCCGAGGGGCGCCAGGCAGGTTCCTCCGGGAACGGCGCGGCCTCCGCGACTCGGCCGCCCGAGCGTCTCGTGAGGAGCGGGCAATCGCCGGACGGCGCCCCGAGGCTTCCTCGCGATCGGACGCGACGGCCGGCTCCCTCTCGTCGGCCTCGGCCACAGGCGGGAGATCCACTTCCATGGCCTCCTCAGCCGCCGGCATCGGCCTCCTTCCCTCCCGCCCTCTGAGGGGCCAGGCGACGCGCGCGCCGGCCAGCCGCTCAACCGCCCCGCCTCCTCCCCACGCCCCCCATTGGCCGCCCGGGAGGCGCGCGAACGCAGAGTTTGATTTCTATTGGACACTGAGTCTCTCTATTGGTCTTCCCGGCTGTCACTCTTCTGGGTAAACATGGAGCGGAGCAGGGAGGGGGAGGGAAAGGAGGACTGGAAGACGCGCGTGCGCAGTTTTAAGGCCGCTGCCGCCACCAGCCGGAGTTTAAAAAGAAAGCGCGTTTTGCAGCCTGATGCGGCAGTGGCGTTTGCGGGTGGGGCGGATGCGGTTCTGTTGGGCATGAAACACACCACTAGAATTAAAAAAAAAACAGTGGAAAAACGGGATCCATAGGAAGAAAAACATTGGGGGGGGGGGGAGGAATTGACAGTTTCAAACAGCAACGTTGAATTGCCAAAAAGGCACTAGGAGTTGTTAACCTAATCTTGGGAAGCTTCTTCTCTGGTAACTGCGATTTCTCCGTGGGTCGTTCATGAAGCCAATGTGGAAGAGAGACTCGGACACGAATTCCCTTCGGGACCAACCGACCCAGAACGGAGTCCGGGGGTCCTTTTTTATTGAGCATACACAAGAGAGGGGTGTGTTTCATGCCCAACAGAACCGCATCCGCCCCACCCGCAAACGCCACTGCCGCATCAGGCTGCAAAACGCGCTTTCTTTTTAAACTCCGGCTGGT